CAGTACAGAATAGAGCAGAATAATCGCTTCCCTTGACCTTCTGGCAGCACTCCTACCAATGCAGCGCAGGATGTCGTTAGCCTTCTTGGCAGGAAGGGCACACTGCTAGCTTATGTTCAGCTCATTGTCCACGGTCACCCCCAGGTCCTTTTCTGCAGAGCTGCTGCCCAACCAGTCAGCCCCCAGCCTCTCTCTGTGCATGGGACTGCTCCATCCTAAGTGCAGGACTTTGCACTTTTCCTTTTGAACCTCATGAGATTTTTTTTTTTGGCCCAGTCCTCCAACTCGTTGAGGTCACTCTGAATGCTAGCCCTACCTTTCAGTGCATCTACTGCTCTGCCCAGCTTGGTGTTGTCTGCAAACTTGCTGGGGAATCCATCGCGTTAAAAATACTCTGCCCTGTTGTGGGTCTTTCTGAGTTGTTTGCAATAGGAGAATTGCTCTATTATATTTTTCTGTAGCCAAAGGGGAGTGAAAACTTAGAGCTGGCTTATTCCCAGGGGGTGCTTTGAGTCTAAAAAGGTGGAGAACCGCTGAGCTGGTTGGCGTGCCCATGTTCTTGGTGACGTTGGTGCTCTACTGTTCTGATTGTTGAGGCAGTTTAGCCAGGGACAGTAAAATGAGACAGTGTCAGTACGAGCCTGCCCATATACAATTAGTTTAGTGTGGAGAAAGACACCACATATTGGCAGATAAGTATGGAGTGCGTTGTAGTGCTCATAAAGCTGTAGGCTCAATAAGAGCTGTAATATATTACGAATAGCTCTTAACAAGCACCTTCATCTTGGAGAGCGAGAGCCTCTACTGTTCATGCTAGCAGGCTTAGTCTCTGCTGCAGCAGAAGTCAACGAGGGTTCAACCGATTTGGCAGGTCAGGGTTTCAGCCCCCGCGCTGGCAGCTGTATTAGTTTCATGAAACCTCTCCTATGGGCCAGCTCTGGGAGGATGACAAAGGCTCAGAGTCACAGTTTGGTCTGCACAAACAGTAGCCAGCAGGCATGTTGCTTACTGCAGTGCCTGGCCTCAATGACTTCCCCGAGACCGCTCAGAGTAGTAAGTGTTGGCACACAGACGATGCGAGGACGACTAACTTGTAGCAGAAAGCTCTACGCCTGGAAAACGACTGTTAGCTAAACGCAGCCCTTATGTTGTAACATGGTTGTCGTAGGTGGGTGCGTGTGGTTGCAAGTGATTATATAATTTACTCCAGAAAGGGAAACGATCATCCAAGTTATATCACATCTATAATTAAGTACAATGGAAGGCGATAAAACAGCAAACATTGAAGTGCTGTTTTTGGCCATGTCTGAATTATTTTTCTCCTTTGGCAAAACCATTAAAGGGAAAGAGAGGAAAAAAAAGAAAGAGGCAACTCTGTATGCATCCACTCTGCATATTGGAGGTTGGGTTTTTTTTAATTTTGATGAATGAAAATTAAAATCTGAGCAAGGGTAAAAAATCCCGAGGAGAGTAGCTGAGTTCCTTCAGACTTTTAGCCAGCCTCTTCTTAATTAAAAGCACCCGGCACTGCTCTTTCTACTAATTGGGTATAAATGTCACCCATTCTACTTTATTTTTCAAAGGGGGGGGGAAGTCGTAATTGCTGCTTGATGTTTTTATTATTTATTGGTTTTTTGTCTATTGATGAATGGGAATGTTCTGTATTAATTAAAACGCATGATATTCCTTCCCCGGTCAGAACGCAGATGAATTTATCCCATTCTGGCAACCTACTAACCCTGCTCCTACCCTCCCGCTAGGCCATGTATTTGCATGCAACTAAGACATGCCAACTCCTCTCTATTCCCTTTGTCTGAGATGATAATAGGCTCAAATGAAGCCCCTGGAGCTTCTTGATGGCATATTCTACCTGATTCGCTTGGCTCTGTCTCTGCCTTTGCAGTGGTTTCCTGTGGCTGTGTATGTGATCTTAACCCAACGTAGCTTGGCTGGGTTGTTTTGTGTTGTTTTTCTCCCCCTTAAATGACCTGTTCGCTAGTTCTAATTACCTTTCCTGTAATAAAACCTCTACAAAAAATTGATTTCAATAGTCCCCTTATGGAAACGTCTTAAAGAATTTAATAGGGATGAAACCAAGGCTATTCTGTGAAAACGACGCTGAAAAGCTGCATAATTTAGTAGAACGTTTTTGTCCCTTTTTGTTTAATAATGTCCATGCCCACTGCAGCTGGGTGGCAGGATTTATGCTCCCCACCGGCATCTGGGGCTATTCTACTGACCTGCTTTGTTAACCGGAGTGGGGTCTCTGCATGAACCCGGGGGCTGTCTTTTCTCATACTTGCCATCATTAGCTCATTATTACCTTGTGCTCCCTGCCTCCCCCAGCCCTCCTCCCCTGTTTTTTGTCTATCACGTGCTTATACTGAGAGACTTACTGCAAAGAGCTCGGAGCAAGTAGGTATAAGGGCCGTCTTTTTCTAATTTATTTGTACAGCGCTTGGCAAATTAGAGTGGCCTCTGTGACTGGGTGTTACCTACCCAGCATTCAAGCCGCATATCTGCTGAGTACTTTCTGTTGAGGTGCAGTCTGGGGCCAAAATCTGTGAGCTTGATGTTGTTTGCAGCCTAGAAAAGCAACCCGCCCACCCACAAGGGTTGCCCACCTTGGTGCCCCTGATCTTGCATCTCCTATGAGGAGGCTATTTGGAGAATCCTGCTTGTTCCCCCCAGCCCACAGAGTGCAGCTGGGAGATTTCTATCCCAGGGATTGAATCTTATAGGCTACCTTGAAGTCCACAGACCCCGACTGCCACCCTGTTCATTGCCCCAGGACCTCTTCCATCTGGGTAGCAGAGATGTTGGAGATCCCCCAGCACCCTTCACCAGACCAAGGCTCTTGCTTGGTGATGTGTAGCCAGGATTGCTCCTTCAATCCCTCCTATGTAGGCAGCCCTGCTCCACTTGACCACAGCCCCACACCCCAGAAGTGGCTGCACATCAGTAGGGTGAGCACCAGGGTTGCTGTTTGTGGAATGGTTTGCAAGGATGTCACGGCAGCGATGGCTGGGCCCAGCTGCATGGAGGGGTTCGGGCAGGATGATTCAATGACTGTGTCGGCAGTCCAAGAGCTCGCTAATGGTCAGGAAGGAGCCATAAGGGATTGCACTTATGAGTATTCATGGGGAGAAGCTTCTCTATTATCCCATGATGGGACGGAGTAAAGTAACTCCGCAGGGTCTTAATCCACAGGTCGAGGCCCTCATGTCCAAGCCCTGGGGCAGGTTGCATTGGCAGCAATTGGGACAGTAACTCGGTTAATTAGGAGCCCCTGGGCTCAGCAGTGATAACAGTCTGTAACAACTCCAGGAGAGTCACTTGGACAGTCACATCCCTGTCCCTTCCTCTTCCCCCACCACGTCCTGCTTCTTATCCACGAGTGAGAATCAGCCATGATCTGTGTCATGATCTGAGTGGGTCCTTTTGGCTCGTGTCTCTGAATGTCCATGAGTTAAAACTGGATATATAGGAGCAGGTGGGTTTCGAGGACAAAGGGGAGAACAGGTTGTGGGGCACGAGGGAGCATGAGGCAGTATGTGCTGGGCTGCTGGGGAGAAGGGGACAGGTGGGCACAGCCAGGGAAGAGAGGGGCGTAGCGGAAATGTGGGAAGATGGATGTGCACGCATATCATTTTCATATACTTCCAGTATGAGACAAGTGCTCTACAACCCTGACCCAGAGACCACTGAACTCCATGGCAGCTCTCAGGTCAGTGGGCTTGGGTTCAGTTCCTAGAGCCAAGTGTGGACCCATAGGTCAGATCCAAGCCTTTATTTCACCCCATCAGCCTCTGTAGCGTTGCTGGTTTGGCTCCCCGAAAATGTTGGGGAGCCATGACATCCCTGTTGTCCTCTGGGACAAGCAGGTTGGCCAGGTCTGTCCAGCTTGAAAGGCCTGTCTGTCCGAAATACCATCCCTGAGGAAAGATTTCCCTGTGTCTGTGATCAAGTCAATTGAACCTACAAATCCTCCCAGTGAAATGATGATGTGGGGGCGAGGGCCCTGAACGTAACTCTTCTTTAGGACTTTTGCACTGTGGCTTTGCGCTGTGCCCTTCTGCGCTCTGCTCTGCATCTGCAGTTGGCAAAGGAGTGTCTGACCCACTGTTTCCTGCGTGCTGTGTACGGGCTGCATCCTGCCAGGTGCTAAGCCCTCGCTTGCCAAGCCAGCCAAGCATAGGAGATTACACTTAACTTCTAAGCACAAATCGTGTCACTGGAATCAATGAGCCTGCTCGCACACCCGGCCTCGAAGCGCATGCTTGCACGCCTGGCTGGATCAGGACCAGGATGCTCGGTGTTGTGCTGACTCAGCCCCCAACAGGCAGATAGTCTGCAAGATGACAGCTTCCCAGCTCCACAGGTACAAGCTCTGAGCATGTGCTGGAGGCTTAGTCCTGACTGTATTTTTATACTGGCGTTAACTCTTCCGGAGCACTCCTGGCTGGCTCTGAAAACACTTCACTTGGGGCAATGTGGCCTTGTCGGCACGTCCACAAGTTGTTGAATGCTTTTAAGTACATTTAAAGGTGCCACCCATTAATTTCACTGGGAAGGGGTTGACAAAGCCTGAGGACTACAATGGCTGGGCCATGTTGCAAGAGTGGACGCACCAAAGATAGTTCTCCTTGGGTACCAGGGAGGAGAAGGCTGCCTGGCAGGCCAAGACGAAGGTGGCTGGACAATGTAGTGTTAGCCCTGCAGAAATTAAAGTTGGACAACTGGAGGATGAAGGCACACAACAGACAGGAATGGATGAAGATAGTATCCTCCCACGTGATGGTGTATGCTCTTATTTACAGTGTTGGCCGTTACCGAACCTCAGAAAGGTTCAGAGAGGCCATTTGAGAAGTTGCCAGGAATTCACAGCCTGTGAAGACGACGATTGTGTGACCCTTGAGCCTGAGAGACGGAGTTGGAAACCCCTGAAGAATCAGCCTTGTTTCTAGCTTCTGGCTGCACTTAAAATGCTGGTGCAAGTGGCTTTTCAGCTGCCATTTCATCAATCCCTGTACCATACAGCACCTGAGGTGGGAACGAGCTGATTAAACTCGCACCCCTTTCCCCCTGGCCGCTCTTCACTCTTCCCTGTAGCACAAGAATTGGCTCCGAGTTTGCCTGAAGATCCAGTGGCAGTGGGCGAGATGATGGCCCTTGTTATAGCCAAATCCAAAGTCTTCCAGCCGTGTCATCGGCCATCCATCATCCTCTGGAGCTCACATCAGCCGGTTCTGCAAGGCCAGTTAATCTCGTCTAAATTCTGTTGCCCCTTGTATCTTCAACAGCCATCTCCTGTCTCCCCCTTCATGCAGTGTACTTGTGCTTGCTTATCCCCTGGGATCTTTTAAAATGTACGTTTTCTCCAGGCACATGGCTTTGGTGAGGAAGAGCAGGCTTTCCAAGTGGGTAGAGTCTAACCAAGGGCTTGGTTCAAGTCCTTGCTCCGCCACAGATCTCCTGTGTGACCTTGTGCGAGTCATTTTGCTGCTGTAGCGCTCTGTTCCCCATCTGTAAAAAGAGGGCAATTTGCTCTCACAGGGGTGTTATGCTGCTAATTGCTTCAAGAGGAATGGTTCGATTTTTTTTCTTGAGTGCCACCGGTGGCAAAGTGTGACGTCCAGAAAAATATTCAAGTTGACTGGGGAAGTGACCGTTAAGCGCTATCTGTGAAGGTTTCTCGCTGAGAACCAGCAAATATGCTTTGGGATAGTGGGGCTGCACATATTCCACCATAATCATCACTGCTTGGCTTTGAAAAACCCTATTTACTCATGATGAGTTGCAGACGCAGTGGGATGGCTAAATAGATTAGATATCATGCAGTTAATTACCTTCATCCCAACACTCTTCTAGATGAAGTTCTAAGACATAACAATGCTGTAATGATACAAATGCCCCATCTCATGTCCTGAGCCATCAGCAGGAGAATTATTGGAATCACTCAAACTGGTAATCACTGGTGATTGTGCTTTGTGTGGAGCACAGGAGAGAGCCACTGGAGCAGAAATTTCCCCCAGATCTTCCCATTTGATTTACATGCCAGATGAGTTACCAGCCTTATTGATACTGCTCCAGCTTTCAAAGAGCCTGCTACTCGGAAAGGGAACAGGAAGACTCAAACTGACTTGGCTTCAGGTTAAAATGCACAGTGAAGCATGCTGGGGACCGGGCAATGAAGGGACTTCCAGGTGCAGTTCTTTGTCTATGTGCCGATGCCCAGGTGGGAAGCTTAAAACAAAAAAAATCAAAACCCCCAAAATGAACAGAGATGAATTTTAGCATATTCTAGTGTGCAGGGGTCTGGGTTTTTTTTCTTTTCTTCTGAGGGTCCCCCTCCCCCCACAACATCATCTCTGCCACTGGCTTTTGAATGACCCTGGGTAAGTCACTTAGTTCAGTTTCTCTTTTTCTCCTTTGTCTTGTCTCTTAAATAAGGAACCTGGGCAAGGATATCTCTGCTTTGTCCATATACAGCCTAGTGTACCGGGACATAAATTTCATGCCAAGCCTTGAGGTACTGCTGTATCGGCTAAAGTCGGAATAGGAAGGAGAGTGGGAGGTGGGGAAGGGGATCCTAGGAGAGAAGTACACTACAGAGGGCTGGGAAGAGGCAGTGTTCACTTCCCAGCCTCCTGCTTGCGCGTGCATACAATTACTACCCTGCGCTTTATCTACTGCTTTTTGCCCGTAACCCTTTACAAGTGATCACCCCTTCTTTTTTGACACATGGGGAAACTGAGGCAAGAGAGGGAAAGAAAATTCCCCAGGGTCACCCAGCAAGTCATCAGTAGAGCCAAGAGCCTTGCCCCAGTCGCTGTTTGGCACTGTGCAGCTGCTGCCCTGTCCCTGTCCTGTGCTCATTGGCCTGGGATGCATAAATCCAGAGTTCCCATGGGGAGAAGTTGGGGATACCCCCCCACACATATTCCCAGCTGCTTGTTTGGTTTGGAGCCACTGGGAGCACCCGTGTGTAGACTTTGAGTGCTGTGCTCTTTTCTTGCTGTGACAACATCCAACACGAGCTGCAATCAGCTTATCCCCACGACCGAGCCACAGCTCTGAATACAAATTGCAGCACCCGCTGTGCAGGCCAGTGCTGCACCATCACCTAATTCCTCTCGGAGGCTGCGCAGGCGTGCATTTTAACAAGGGGCTTTGTGCAAGGTGCCAGCCGCGGTGCGGTCTCTCCAAGCATCCCTTGAAGCCAGCCCAGCTTCTCATGAGGGCAGCCCCCAGGGCTTCCTGGGGTTACAGAGCACCTGCTGCCTGCGAGGCCCCAGTGCGGAGTCTCATCTCATTCAAGTCCTGGAGGGGACTTAGCTTTAAAGCAGTGTAAATGTAGAGACACCTTCCAACCCCAGCCAGACAACGGGGAAGTGGCTTGCAAAGCCCTTGGGATGGATGTCCAAGCCAAATGCTAGATGGAGTCCATGTCAGCAAGAGTAACTGGCCAATTCCTGCCAACATCTCCTGACACCACCACAACTTTGTCCCTCTCTGAACTGCGCACTAGGTTGTGGGGAAGCCAAAAAAAAGATCCTGTCCCTTCCCACCTGCTCTCCTTGCTCTCAGTCCTGTGGTCGTTCAAAGTTAATGTCCATTAGTTGGGTCTCCCTCCCATCGGTGGGTCCTTGAAGTTTGGCAGTTGACCCTGATGTCTCCAGAGTTTTGTCCGCAGGCGCTCTGCAATGAAAAGGAAGTCTGCAGCGCTGGCACCGTCCCACGGCTATGTTGGATCTTGATCGGCAGCCTTCAGCACGGGGATGGTGACTGTTGGAAAATAACCGGCTTGTTACATAGCTTTATCCATTCAAAAAGCCACAATAATTGAAGGGACTGTATCTGTCAATCAGAAATCATTGCAATCTACATTGGAAGGCAAAGGCCAGTCTTGCAGACTCCCCTCTTTTGATTAAGATTTAAAACTCTGCTATGAGCAAAGACTTGCCAGAGCTCCAGCCTTTGTGGTTCGTCTGCAATGAGGGAGTGTGGAGCCGGGTGTCTGGCTCTGTTGGCTGGGCTACACTCCTGCAGCCCTGAGCTGATTAAGTGCAGAGTGTCGAAGTTAGTGGGTCTGTGGTTCCCATCGCAGCTGCGCTCTGCTGGCAGGGTGTTGTGCCGGCCAAAATTCGTGTCAGGCAAAAATCAAATTAAAGTCCACCAGCCCAATGTGTTTGGGGAAGGGGGAAAAAAAAAAAAAACCCCAACAACAACCCCCCCCCCCCCACACACACACAGAGTTCATCTGTTGGATGAAGTTACACCAAGTAAATGGAAATTAAAGGCTTCTCATAGGAAGATTTTAGGTATAATTTGATGGAAGACTTTAATTATGCCAAAGTACCTAAGAAAAGGAACTTTTAAAAGGATTTTATTTTGGGGCTGTCATAAAAATACATATCTATCTGCACAGGCCTTTTGAGCATCAGTTGGCCTGAAAGGGCTGCTGTCAGCTCAAGAAAGAGGGATTTTATAATTCTGTGCCCCCTTACCGCCCTTCCCTCCTGAGACCAATTTCTACTTAAGATGCCATCCGTTTCATGAGAGAAGGCCGGCAGACGAAGCATGTAGGGAAGTGGGTGACAGGGGGCTGAGCATGAAAGGTTTTAATGCTGCCAGACTGTTTCCTTTATCAGTCAGTTAACATACTGTTGGAAGAGGAATGTTATTGCTCATGATCGTCGGGATTGCTTGTGCCCGTTGGGTGGTTTTGGTTTTTTTTTTAAACCTTTATTGGTTTCTCAGAGATGACAGAGCCAGGGTGCAAGTGTTCTCCACAGGCATCAGACCCAGCAAGGCCAACTGGGTGCATGGGCAAAGGGTCCAAGCCAAACTGCACTGGAGCATATGGGAAGGGAAGAGGGGTGCAGGTTGAAAGGGTGTCTCAGCCTCTGGCGTTGAACGCCCAGAGGCTCCGGGTCCAAATTCTAGCAGGAGCTGCTTAGCCATTTACGTCTCTGGGAGAGGCGAATCGCGATTCACTTGGTATGGTTTGTGTCTGGGACAGGGGGCATGAGGCCTGGACAGCGGACGCCTTGTCCGGCAAGTGTGTAAGCTGAACGGAGGCTGATTGTAAGGGGCTGTGAACTGATTCATGCCAATAGAGGCGGTGGCCCAAAAGCTCCCCCAGTGTTTCTTTTCTGAAGGTCAGTCATTCACCCTGTATCTCCTGCCCTATGTGATTGCCTGCTATCTCCACCCAGTGCTGAGACGCGACCCTCCTTCCTCAAGCATGGCAGAGCCCCTCCGTCTCAATGGGGTGGGATGTGGGGGTTGCACCTTGGCAGTAGGGGTGTGTCCTGTCTCCCCATTAAACTGCAGGCTGCCTTGTCCTCTTCTGCTTCTTTTGGCAGCAAACGGTAGCCCA